GTTGCATATGAATAATTGATTACAGCAGAAACTAGTACAAGTATATACTGTCAGTTTGGATTGTTACAAATGCTTGGGAAGTTTCTGTCAAATCACTGTCTTCAAAACTTACAATCGAAGGTATGACTTTCTCATTTGAGCCCTGATATTTGATATGGTTCTGGCATTTTTGATGCATGCATAGTATGGCAGTATCCATTTTGCGCATAGTTTATGGTCCAACCTAGCTGTATTTACTTAACTAAAACCAAAATCAGTTATTAAGCAAATCAATCCGAAAGAGAAACCTGGTACGTACGTTGTGTTCAAGGATCAGAAAAATCTGCTCAGAAGACATGGTAGAGAGAGAATTAAATTTATTACGTAAAACCCTACTAGAGAATGGGTATCCACCAAGATTTATTCACAAAAACATGAAGGAGAAGCCTCCAGTGTCAGACATCGCAACGGTTCCTAAGAAGACTCTCTTCATGAACCTAGAATTCAAAGGTGATGTCGCAGCGGAAATTCTCACGAACCGCCTTTCTAAATGTCTGGAGAAGACATTTCCAACAGCCATTCTCCGTATCACATTCTCCTGCAGACAGTTAATCCAGTCTAACGCTAAGGACAAGATACCGCTTTTGGCCACCTCAATGAGTATTTATCAATTTACTTGCTTGTGTGGAGCAAAGTATATTGGCCGTACGCAGCGTTAAGTCCACAAACGTATTCTGGAACACTGCCCAGCTTGGTTATCCAGAGGAGAAAAGAAGAATAGCAACAGTTGGATCCTCGAACACCTTGTCATCTCTGGACATCGAGCACCCCCACATGAATGCTTCCCAGTGTTACACAGAGTCCCTCAATATCGTACAAAGGGACTTCGGATACGCCATCTGTACATAGCTGAAGCATTAGCTATTCGAGATCTGAAACCGGACCTCTGCATTCAAAAGCGATATATACATTTTCTCGCCTTACCATGGCCAGAGTAAAGTTCTCACCACAATTTTGCTTCTTTCCTTTATTATGTAAGTTCACTATTATTACTATTATTATTTTATTTTAATAATACTTGTATTATCATTATTGTTCCTATCATCCACATTTTATTACCACTCTATTACTTTTTATTTAATAACATTGCTTTTCATACATATTTTAGACAAAAACACTTTATAGCCTTTCCACTAGTTCCTGTCCATTTTACACGAGCTTATTCATTATTCATTATCTCACACTTATTACGTCATGCCAACTTGTGTCTCCTTTCTAACTTACAATTAGTCATCCCTTCTTACACCTTACATTATGTAATACAATTTTCCAAGGACAAAATTTACCAGTATCTGATTGGTCTAAAGATTTCTTTGTTAATTATAATTACGATTGTACAGCTCATGAAAATAAATCATCGAAAAGAAAATTTTCTTCGCTGTTTGTGCCTTCTTCTAATGACTCAAGAAGGACAGTTTTGGCGTCCAAAATGTCATCTATATTTCATAAGAAATATATCTTCAGCTTACTAGGTGTAGTATATGAATAACTTGGCTTAACACGACGGCGTATAAAATGATAGGGGTGCTTGGATGAGTTGCTTCAGCCTTATCACTTCAGTGAAATAATGCACATCAGTACACAATGCCGAACACCAATGAACGTGTTGGTGGTTATTAATTCGTACATAAAACAGCACTAACCATGCTCATCCGCGACAACCATGTTAGGAAATCGAACTCCTCAGTCAAAAGACAATTTAAGCGGTTGATTTCCATTATATGGGACATTGCTGTTCTTGACGATGTCACTCAACAAAGTCGCCTGCATAAGATAACAGTTTTTCGGGGACGAAAACTATTTATGTTCTACCTTTCTGAGAAGGATGAATTTGAGCTTGAACTAAGACACACTACCATCACGTAAACATTGCTTTCTGAAAAATCTGCAAGATTTCAGTTTGTGGTAAAACAGTTACTTCTTATTCAGTAAATATCTTCAGATTTCCTCTACTACAAACAGTTTTAGTGCATACAACGTTATCTCACTTGGCTTAAGCGATATGCGCTGAACATAAAATGAACACAAAACATCTTTTGGGAAATTCACCTAAACACTAATACTGATTATAAACTATTCAAAGACCGTAGTAACGCTTGTTAACGAAATCACAGTAATTTAGAAACTACTTGAACCTTTTAATCTTTGATCACTTGCCAGTCTTATTTGGCATTTAAGCACCTCTGATCTCACGGCAGAAGAGTTAAATCTTCCGAGAAAAGTGCTTTCATAAAAAAGATATCCAACATGCTTCATAGATGAAACCTACGAAATGTGACTTGTTTTCCTAATCAAAGAGAATGCTATACATGCAGCCTGAATTCCAGGGGGACTTTTTGACTATTATTTTGAAAGGAAGAGTATCACAACCCCTTAAAACTATATGTATTGCAGTACTTCTGAGCGTATTGTCTTCTAGTTGACCAGTAGTTCTTGACCAACTCTACGCGTGTTAACCGGTTCACCTGATCTTATGAAGCTAAGTATACCAGGAGTTTGACGCCGGCTAATTTAAAAGGGATGCAAGAATACTATCCTGAGTGATGTCTTTGCTGAGTCACGACTTTTACTTTAAAGTTGTAAATGTCCTCAGTGCTCTACTAGGGTCGATTCAGACCAGGAAGTTAGATCGTTGAAACCACGTCTTATTCATCATGGTATTCTTCACCAAGAGTGAAAATTAATTATTCGATGTCTTGATTATCTTAGTTTTGTCAATTAGTACCACCTACTGACAGAACTCCGCCCGGAACAAACTGGATTCAGGATAGGCAAATCATGTGCTGATCAAACTGCAACTCTACTCAGCATCATTACAGAACAAAGCACAGAATGGCAGTCAAACGTAAACCTCAGCCTCGAAAAGGCAGCAGCTTCGACAGACAGAGTTGACCGAGAAAAAATTTGGAAACTGCTTCAACACTACAGTGCACCTCAAGTCTTTTTCAACCTCATTCAGCAGCTGGCTATATGGCAATGCCCCATGCCAGGTGATCCACAGCGGAAAACTCAGTGAGGCGTTCGAAGTGAACCCGAGTGTAAGACAGAGATGTCTATTATTATACTGTGCTTTGGGAGCAAGGAGGCAGGAGTACGCTGGACGACCGATAAGAACACTCTAGAAGATCTGGATTTCGCAGACGATATATGCCTAGTTTCATATAAACTTGAAGACTTATAAGTGAAAACCAACAAACTGGAAGAAGAGGCTGGCGGTGAAAACAGGACTGCAGGTGAACACAGAGAAGACGGAGATGATGAAGATAGTCAACCAATCAACAGCAACAACAACCAGCACCAATCACCATCAACGGGATAGCTTTAACAGAGGTTGCCTCCTTCACTTATCTGACCAGGAAGCATTGTTCCAACTACAGGCAGTCGGAACGGACGAAGATGTCAAAGTCAGAATCGGAAAGACAAGCAAGATACGCCTTCATCGACCTGAAACCACTTTTGAAATCTTCAGCACTAACTCAGCATAAGGAACAAGATTCGCATTTTCAACACCAACGTGAAATCGGTCAGTTCTTCTATACGGGTCAGAAACTTGCACTGCGTGTCAGTCACGAGAAGGTTTTTCAACAGGCTTGAAACTTCCATCAACATATGCCTTAGTTCCGTACTGCAAGAAAGAATAAGCGACAAGAAACTATGGCGATGAATAAACCAATCAAGAACCGGTCACTCAACAAATATGTAGGGAAAAATGGAGATGGATCGGGCATACGTTGAGGAAGCCACCAAATGACATCACACGCAATACAGGCCATCACTCGAGTGGAATCCCAATGGGAAGCAACGAGTGGGTCGTCAGTGTGAGGGTGACATGGAGGAGACCATGTGAGGAAGAGATGAGAGAGTTTGGTCAATCATGGACCCAGCTGAAGAGGATGGAAGAAGACAGAACAAAGTGCAGATGTGTTGTTGAAGCCAGCCCTATGTTCCACTTGGAACGCAAGGGAACAATAATAATAATACCACACACTGAAGCCTCTTGTTATATATAATACATGTTTCATATTCAGAGTTTCAGCATTACCAGATATCATCTTCGCTATCGATTCGATAATTCAATCAGATCCTTTCTTTATTTTGCTTTAAAATTCATAGTAATCCACTACAAGAACTCCACTCACTTAAATGACTGAATTTCAACTAAAGAGCAAAATAATGACCAGACATTGGTAGGTTAAACTGTTTACACTACATAGCTATATGAACCGATATCCCCTTTATCTAGCAAAGTACCTGAAGTAGAATAGACAGTGTCCATTGCCTGAGATACATAAAACAAATTTTCACACTATCTATTAATCAGCTATACGGTTTTCATTTTTCGCCTTCTCTACCAGTGATGTACAGGTGAGGGATATAAATCTTGACTTATAGTTTGAAGTGATACAGTTACCAATTATAGTTTATAGTAGGCTACTGAAGGCTACTTTTGAAGACTTCACTTTCTGAATAATTTATTAGTGACCAAGTCAATTAGTGATTGATACAGAGTCCTGATCACTTCTTATTAAATGGTTTGTGTGTACGCTACTTCAATAATCCCTGTAATTTATCTATACGCTTCTAACCAATGGCTGGAGACAGTCGGTGATGTGGCTCAAAATCATTCTCAACAGCGCGTATTCATTCACTCTTTCGTGATTTCCCATATCTATGTTACTAACCTTCCTCCCCTTGGGTTTTCTGCTTACCATCGCTTTATTAAATCCCTTCTTTCTCTATCCTATTTCCACATTTTTGTTCTCCGCGGAGTATAACAACTTGAACTGTCACATTTCTGTTCGAAGTCCGGTGTTGAAAGTCAAGCGGTCAGTCAGTCAATTCCCATCTCATTGAGACAAGATGTGAAAGGACCCTCCTTTTCAGTATGTAAATGAACTGAACAACCACAATATAAAGACGTTAATTTGTTTTAAAACAAACTATTTAAAACTTTGTTATCAATAGCATTATTATTTTGAAAATTTGCAATATTTCTGTTATGAGAATTCATAAAAAATAATTTATACAAAGACAGAGGTTGTAGCTAAATGGTAGTTCATTTGTTGTTGTACATTGAACAAAAGATAAAAGAAGTAGTAGTAGTATTAGCAGTAGAACAAGAAGAAGAAGGAGCAGGTGGAGAACAGTGGAGAAAAAAAGATGAGAGAAATAAAAAAATGCATTAACATTCTTCATAGTATAACAATAAAGGCTTTATTGAGTATTGTTTAATGTTTCCTGAAATCTGTGTACTCTATTACAACTTTATTTATTTATTTATTTATTCTAACATTCATTCACTCATTCAATGTGTGTACTGACACTGCTTAATGACTTTTCTCTCCTGTTGAATGAGCATTGAATACTTTGAAGCAGTAATTACCAGGATCGACGACTAAAAGTTTATCGGACAGTTGATGCAACACCAAACCTTGAGGACCACTCAAACCTTCGAGTTTACTGTCAATCATGCGTACATAATTCCCATTTTGATCAAATACCTGGAATAGAATATTACAAATATACTGTTAGGAGTGACAAAAACAAAGTTCTGAGTACATTGGCTTTTGATATGAATATATGGTTTAGAAAATTAGACACCTTATTGAAAAAAATATATATTCATTAGGCATATCCCCTAGCGAAGTGACAGATATCAGAGTTGGCGAGAGATTTTACAGCTTGTGAATGATATCACTGAAAAAAGAGTAATTCTTCTCTGAATGCCTCTTTTTTCAAGCATTCTATTCTCAAACTTCGTTATTTATTGCTGATATTTATATGCCAGCATGCGGGATTATATATTTTGAAATACTCTTCAAAATGGACTTCGTTCTGATTATGTTGTCTAGAATGATAACGAAAGTTCCTTGATTAAACCATGAGACACTTTCGACATATTTTGATCTAGATAAAATAGAAATTAGCAGTGATATGTCATCCTTTCAATAATCAGCCTACGAAATAAGCTAAATATAGGATCTCCACCAAAGTTTTGCATCTCTGTTTAACACAATACATACATAGTAAGTGATAGACTGTCGTTAAATGTTGTCACTCTTGGTTATGCTAAGCTTTCCTCATAGATTTCAACATTCACTCCGTAGTTCTTCAGTGTTTTTTTTGTAGCGGAATCTTTCAGTCATTCGGCATTAGTGTTAAGTTGTTTCTGTTATTTTTATCCAGTATTGAGCCGATAAAGGAAAGAAACTACATTCATCAATCTTTCTTCTAATCTGAAGTTAATGAATGTCACCGCTGTTATCCTTCGTATTTCAGCCGGCATTCTAATAGTGTGTATTTGTACGCAACAGCCGAACCTTTTCCTAAGTTAGTTACCTTATAATGATCTACCACTCTATATTGCGTTATTCTGATACACTATTTTGACACTTATGTACTTGACCTCAAGGTCTCTAAGACATTTGACCCACTAAATTATTTCGCCTAACAAGATGTATAAAATCCTTCAGGGTACAGTATTTCTCTCGTATTAAATTTGTGGTTTTAAATGCTACCCAAATCGAAGCTTTTTAAAGATCATTATTTATGTTTCTTTCGAAGTTTCTGTAGTGACTGGATTGATCTTCTGATGTGGGATAGCCCCACGCCTAACTTCCCCTCTTTATTCCAGCTTGGAACTGGCTAGTGAACTAATAGAGATTGTTATTTAGAAGATTGTGGGTAGCCATCGAATCTAATAGGTGCATCTTTTCCTATCTGAAACTCTTCAGTTGGTGGTGAAGCTCCTATTGAGACTCAAATCTAACACCCATTATTTCAAATTATAAAAAGTCCTCCACTAGGCAACTTGAGGATGAAAAGAAAGCTTATGGTCAGTCGTGGAGTTACCTAAAATAGGCTGCAAATGAACTCTACGACAGAACCAGTCAAGAACCAAATGCTCAACAAGTGGTGATGGACTGAACATGCACTGAGTAGACCACTGAGTGGGATCACATACCAGGACCTTGAGTAGAACTCGGATGGGTAGTGAAACGTTGGACGTCCGAAGGGTGAAACGAGAAGATAGTGTTAGTAAGGAGTGGAAGACTATGAGTAGACGTGAAGCCAGATGGTAGAGAACCATTTGTGACAGAGATGTGCAAGTGAGATCACATTTTCTACTAGGAAGGCAAGTAATGAATAATAATATGCCTTCATGTTTTTGGAGTTTAAAGATTGTGCACTTCTGTTTATTCAAAATACCCGTCCTATGATGACGACTGTTATGGACATAGAAGATGCTTCATCTCATTGTTTATGAAATTTAGAAACGACATAAGTCTAGTATTAATATATCCATGATATACTTTCTGTAATCGGTGCCGCAGTTCTCTCTTTTCGAGTTTATGATCATAGTTCAGATTGCTTGGAACAGCTTCACAATTTGTATTGCATGAGATATTAGTATAAAAACTCGCAGTGTCAGAAACGTTCATTTTCTTGCCTCTGTTTAGATTTGTCAGATTCGTACTTTGTTTAAAATAGAAAGTACCGATTAATATAGACTTTATGAGTCCGTGGTTAAACGGTAGAATGTTCGCCAATCACGTACTTGGTCCGGGATTTGAATCCCAGCTGGTGCATTGTAAAATCTCACTCAGTTTACAAGCCGGTAGGTAGTAAGCCTAGAAAAGAGGGGGTTGGGTGTGAGACTGACGACATCCCCCCGTGAAAACAACATCACTACTGAAACTTTAAAGCTCAAGCTTGAAGTTCCACGTTCCGCTCGGAACGTAAAGGAATAAAAGGAAAATTAACGTGTGACTTAACCATTTTCTGAAGGCAAATGAAATTACAGTTATATGGTACGATAATTCATATGCTGAAGCATATCTTCAGTCAAGTGTCGAACACTATCCGAACAACTTGACTTATAAATCTTAATAATATTAAACATTCTACTGGAATTCCTGAGTCAATCAAATTCTTCAAGGAACGGCTTCACTCAGTACGTAATATCGGCTCTATATTTCACAGCCATGTTTATGACTGTAGGAAAAGGTTTCACAATTTTCTTAAAATGGCTCTACTCAGTCTCCTTTCAAATCATCCGCTTAATAGTTACTTCAGAATTGTTATTTGTTAAAATTATTAAATTTGAACATTCGTTGATCAGTTATACTGGAAATTTGATCTGTGTTGGCTCATCCGCTCCTAATATGGGTGCTTCTTAGATGCTTTGAGGCTAAAATGGAATTATTTGGCTGATGACGGCAAGTAGTGGAATTCCGGATGCTTGTTTTGTCCTATTTGGGACTTATCAGCTGGATGTGCCTGCTTTTTCAGTTAGTGACGATGTTTGAGTCTCGCTGGTAACACTATTACTGACCGGAATAAGGTAATATCCGGGTGACGAGTCCTCAAAATAACGAAACGTGTTATGGTAAATCTTATAACTAAGTCAATAGTTCTCAGATTTTCTGATAATGAAGCTTCTAGATTTACGCGAATATCGCTGGAAATTCATTTTCATCGACAGCCTGCTTAAATTACTGGGCTACTAACATTTCCATCCATCATAATGCTTAAAGTCTTTTGCAATTTCAACTGTTTTAGTGATGTGATTATATGCATTAATCACTGAATGAACTCGCGCACATTTTGAATTAGCTTTCAACAAAATGTAGTGCAGTTCTGGAAGGAAATCAAGAGAAAATATCATAGAGAACTGGATCTTTTTTCATTTGGAATAATATTACGTCAGACGATAAACTACAGACTATTATTTTACTTGAAGGTCCTGTACAACAAGAAAATATTTTACAACTAAACAGACTGAGAATTTCTGTAAATTCAAATAAAGTTGTGCAGTTTAACTAACCTGTATTCGATTATTTCCCCAATCACTAATATATAAATAATCGAATCGATCAAATCCAATACCAGTTGGAGCATGTATCATCCCCGGATCAATTCCATTGACACCAAATTTATACAAGAATAATCCATTTATATCGAATACTTTAATTGCATGATGTGCATGATCTGACACGAATATTTCATCTTGTGAATTAACTGCAACAAACACTGGATTACCAAAATGATTATCAGCTAAACCACGTGCACCGAAACGGTTGATAAACTTTCCAGTTGGTTTAAAAATGCATATCATACAAGATTTTTGATCAACTACAATAATACGTCCACGACTATCGACTACCATACCCTTCGGCCCGGAAAGATAACGTTGACCAAATCGGGACATATATTGTCCAGTTGTATTGTATACTGTAACACAATGTAAATCATAATCTGAAACCAGATAATTTCCATTGATTGTTTCTGCTACATCAACTGGTCGCATAAGTTGTCCAGGATGATAACCATACTCACCGAAATGAGATAAAAATTGACCTTGAAGTGTAAATACCTATGAAAAGCAAAAAAAAGAAAGGGTAATAGTAAAATCTATTTCTTGAATATTTTTAGTAATCTGTCATCACTAGTATAATATTCTATTCTAGTAGAGTTAAATTTTGAATTTTGTTTGAAATAGATGCCAATAATTTTGGCGCATTAATGAAAATTAATGTCTACCAACTGAAAGACTGTGATTTATCTTTGTACTTTAAGAAATAAACTCGCATAAAACATTCTCATTTAAAGTTAGTGAGACTCAAAATTTTATCAATATACATGTTCAATCCTTAGACGAAAATAGCTACACATATTCAAATAAAACTCGTGGTGTACATATGATTATTCAGAGTCTGAAATTATTCGGAAATTTGTTTGCGGAAGTAGATAATTAGGTTTATTCATCTTTCATCAATGCCGATATCAGTTCTACGAAAAAGGTGACTGATTATTCCAGTTTATAAAGCTAGAAATCTACAAAAGCTAAAAACAGTGGCTTTTACCTTCAGTAGACACAAAGTTGGACATAAAATTATCTTCAAGTATTGGTTTTGTAGGGATTCTGTTTGATTACATGGAGGATTTCATCATGAGCTGACATCATTTAGAGAACCACTGGTAAACCTGCATGGAGTACTGGACAGCTGTTCCCTTGGCCTAGTTTGGGAATCTTCGGCAGTAGCACCCACCGAGGTTCGAACCCACGGCCTTCTGGTTACAAGCCTAGCGAGCTAGCTCGTAGACCATTGAGTCACTGGGACCCGATCCAATGGTCCTTGAATTCTAGCTTCTGACAATTCACGACATAGTGCGACCATTTCGCAATGTCTTCTTCGATGATTTACTGCCTCATCTTCAACCTGCTGTACCCTACTGGTCATGGCTTCCCACTAGAACCCCAGGTTAATTGCCTGAATAGGGCAAGTCGCTATTGAGCATCAGATTACTTTTCAAGTATTGGTTTTGTAGGGATTTTGTTTGATTGCATAGAGGATTTCATCATGAGCTGACATCTACTTACTTCTGGATAGTGTTTCAACATCGAAGCCTTACACATGAAATACTCGAACTGTCTTCAGATTATTATGTTACAGATTCAGCAGGAAAAGCTTATTAGTTTATGTTTTACAGTGATAGTCGGAAGTTGGAAGCAAATGGAAAATGGTCAAGCTGAAATGGCTCACTAATCCATATTGTCAATGACTATTGGTTTTATTCGTTTAAGGGAATTTCAACGTAGACTTTGTCATGAACCAATGTCAGCTGGCGATCATTGGGAACCAGAAAGTAGTGAACAACTGTCCTCTCCTAGTTTGAGACTCTTCAACAGTGCACACCCAAGATACTACCAGGCATCGAACTCTGGACCTTCAGGTAATGAGGCCAAACTCGTTAACTATTCAACCACTTGGGCCCTTGAAAATCTAACTTTTTCAATGTGTGATACAGCGCTATCCCCAACCAGTGCCTTCTGTGAGCATCCACTTCACCTTGGCATGGTGGACCTCGGTGGTCATGACTTTACAGTACAGCTTCATGACATCCATCCAGTAGCCATCAGTGAGCTATTTATGTTCTGAGTTTTTCCTAGGGATTTGAAGCAAGAAAGAACTGAACAGTTGTTTCATCGTAGTTTATGATTGTTGAGCAATATACACTCACGATCCCACCGAGGAAGGCCGAGTGACTGGTTAGTGTCCATGTAATAACATGAATCTGTTTTCAAAGACTATCAGCTGCATAATTAGGAATCGATCGTGGAGGCATAAGTACATTCACACCTCACCTTTTATTTTATTTGTAACCTCCCATTTCGTCATTTACTTTCTCGTTATTTTCTTAATTTGACATTTCATGACTGCCTGTTCAATTTTTACACATTAAACTTCTTTTATATCCATTTTACTTGATGAATATGACTTACTGATGCTATACTATAGTTGTATACTAAAAACAACTTTTCCTGAAGTATACAGGAACATTGTTTTTGTATATTATATTTTACAACTGTCAAAATTATGTCTTTAAAGACTACTGATCAGTGAACAAAGAATATTCTTTGGCCATAAATAAATTCGTCATCAGGTTCTACGTTTAAGTGACCATAAAAGTTAAAGAAATATTGTTATTAACAACATTAATGCTATCTTGAATTACATTAAATCAATAATATCTCTAGGTTAAATTTCAAAAAGCCTCAGTAACAGAGAAATAATATGCAGTAACATAACACTGAATATCAGATATATTAAGGGAAGCGACATAGAATTTATAGATTCGCCAGTAGGCCAGGGTAGCAACAGCCTCTGGATCTGTTTAATTTTCACTCAGGGCTCCGGTTGACTTAAGCTTATTGTAATGAGCTCTACAGTTTGCAGTGTTTGATATCTATAGGCCTCTGGTAATTTATTTAATACCCGATAGATGATTAAAGAGAAAGAATCTTCAATGCTAGTTCTGTAGTCTGTTTGGACGAGGTGATCTAATATCTAACTGTTAATTGTTTTAACAGCGCGTCGGTGGCACAGCGGTAGAATACTCGCCAACCACGCCTCATGGGGTCCAGGCTTCGATCCCCAACCGACGCCAAACCAGTAATAAGACTGGTAAAGAGGGAAGGTTGAGCATGAGGCTAGCAATCCCGTCCCATCCCGTAAACGTAAACACCACTGCTACCGAAACTTCAAGCCTCTAGCTTGAAGCCCCCTATGTTCCACTGGGAACGTAAAGGGATAAAAAGAAATTATTTTAACAACACCTTAACATAACCACACTGGTAGGTTTTTCTGTGCATAAAGGCTCGTGGCCAATATGACAGGCTCAGTAGTAGCGGCCGGATTGGTAGACACAATTAGACTTGGCTAGCCTGGCAATTCTCTTAAATCAACTGGAGCTCTGAAGGCAAAAGAAACAGGTCTATTCAGTATTACGACCCCGGCCTGCTGTCCAACCTATAAATTCCTTCTTACTTCCCTTAATTTATCTAATATTCTATCAGTCTAATGTTATATTAATGCATATTATATCTGTCTCTCTTACTGTTGCTTTGGAAATGTAGTCTGGCGATACTACTGATTCAATGTAATTTAAAATAGCATTAATGTTGTTAATAAGAATATTTCTTTACTTGTTACTGCCGACGCACTCCTTTACCTCGCTAAGCCAGTAATAAGACTGGTAAAGAGCGAAAATGTACCGAAAAGCCTACGTCTCAAGGGAACAAACTCTTATAATAGAGCTACTACCAGACATCACTTTGATACGGGTCATGAGGTGGAAATTGAGAAATCCTTTAGAATTATCAGTAGGCAAAGGAGCTCCATTCTCCTCAAGTTCGCTGAAGCAATTTCTGTCAAACGCTTGAAACTAGATTCATGCGTTCAGAAAAAAAGCAGTTATTAGTCTTTCCTTGCCCTGGTAAGTGGACGTCTTTCATTTGATCACGTAATCTTTGGCTTCAACTTCACTCCCCCCTTGGATATAGTGTAATTTTGCTTGTCTCTTGTTTCTATGATTTGAGTTGAACTCAGTAGATTGTTACCTAATTTATTAGTCACTCATCATCTTATGCATCTCTGATCTTTATTATATAACTCCTTTACCATTGTATGCATACATTTATTTTGTTTAAACTTGAACTGCCTGTGTAAAACCTATATTAGTTTGTTTATTAGGTATATCACACAGTGAAACAGTATTATTTACTGGATGACGTTTCGAACAAAATTTATTGTTCATAATCATATCAATTGTGATCACACGACTTTGACACTTGAGTTTTATAGTTTTCTTTGTTCTCTCCTATTTTTCGTATGGGTAGTAGAATTTTCCAGACATCGGGGACAGGGTTGGTTGACCCGAATAAGATAAGAAATCTAGAGAATAGTTCAGCTATAGCACTACATGCAGTCACACACAACCATACAATAGGATGGGATAGGATGACAGTTCTAAAATCCAATGTCACAGGGTATAGGGAGAGATTGATAACAGAAGCTTTGTTTATCGAATCAACTGCAAATACGTGTAATAGGAATGATTCATCACCTCTCCCAGATATCTGGAAAATTCTACTACCCATACGAAAAATAGGAGAGAACAAAGAAAACTATAAAACTCAAGTGTCAAAGTCGTGTGATCACAATTGATATGATTATGAACAATAAATTTTGTTCGAAACGTTGTCATCCAGTAAATAATACTGTTTCACTGTGTGATATACCTAATAAACAAACTAATATGGAATTACTTACTACCACAGTGCCCAAGTTTTACACATATATTAATGTGCAAAACCTATTTAGGCGTAATTTCCTGAGCACTGTTCGCTAATTGCGGAACCTTCTGCCAATTGACACCACGTAAAATTTGCAAGTATGTTAAAACTTTTCTGTACATAAACCTCATAATTTATTTAGGCTGTGAGCAGTAGCTGATGAGAAGCCAACGAAATAAATGATAGTAGCATATTATTGTGCACAAAACACTGTTGTTCTTGTTTTATTCACATTCATCAATGGGAATAAATGCATAAAGAGGGAGGATTGAGCAACCCTATCCTGTAAAAGTAAACTCCACTGCTACCGAAACTTCAAGCCTCTAGCTTGAAGCCCCCTATGTTCCACTGGGAACGTAAAGGAATGAAAAAAACACCTTAGATCCATTCTCGTCTAAGGACTGTTTTCACACATCTAACATTAATTAGTGAAAAGTATGAGGTATTCGTTAGTTTTCTGAACAAAATGTGAGACTTAGGAAATCTATGTAATCGAATCATCTTTAATAATATATTGTCTTTAACTCTCATTTTCTTATGGTGGCTAGTGCGGAAATGTTGAAATACAATTCACCAATCCGAATTTATTCTGTTCAGATATAAGGGAATTAAAATAAACATGACAAATGTACAAATATTCAAATGAACTGTCGTCAAGATTTGACAGAATAGTTCTAAAATATTTGGGCGCCGAGTGAGAAGTAGACATTTGTAAAAAATTATATTTGTAAAATCTC